AGGAGCCCAATATATGTTCAGTTCAGTTCAGTTCAGTCGCTCAGTCGTGTCCGACTCTTTGCGACCCCATGAATCGCAGCACGCTAGGCCTCCCTGTATATCACCAACTCCTGGAGTTTCATTGTTATTATCAACAACCTAATTGTCTAACCATGTGCCCTAGTCATATATGCCATTACCCATGATGACTCAGATACATCAGACATTGAGAAACACTCCTTTATTGAGACCCTCTCTCCTTTACCCCTGTCATTCTCCACCCCCAGGACATTCTGCTGATCTTCCCTTTCCCCTTTCCCTTGTTGTCCTTATCCTCTTTCCTTTGGCTGCACCGCACAGCTTGTGGGATCTTAGTTCCTCAACCAGGGATTGAACCCACACCCTTGGCAGTGAAAGCACAGAATCCTAACCACTGGACCTCCAGGGAATTCCTTCCTTGTTGTACTTTTTTGTACCCTTCACAAGTTGACAGTTTTAGTTAAGTAGTCTTGATGGTATCTTTTTAATTACTGGCTCTAGAAGAAGCCAAAGTCCATATAATTAAAGTCCAGTCTCTTTATCCACACTTGGAGCACAGCAATGGGAGAAGGTTGGTAATATTATATACTCCTGCTCATCAGCGTTACTGCAAAAACACAGTTGCATGCAATAATGAGGAGGGCTTTGCTCTCTTTACAAATTAATGAATTAATAAATGAACCAGGAGAGGGAGCATCAAGTTTGTGAAGATGCATTTCTGCACACCTCACACTTCTACTGCCTTGATATTTAACCAGTAACCAGAGTAAAATGGACCATGAAGGGAAACTATGAAAATCACAGGGTTCTGCTCCAGGCTCGAGACTTAAGATAATTATCTGCAACTTGAATTTCCCAACCTCTGGTAGAAATGAGGTCATCTTGATAGCCATGGCTGAACTGTCACCCCAGCTTCTAATGCAGGACCTCCATCCAGTTTTCTTTGAGGTCTCGCCCCAGGATACCTAGGAGTCCTGAAAGGATATCTTATGTGGAGACTGAAAAAGTCCACTTCTCAGGGATGTCAGTGCTTCATGAGGTGTCCTCTGGAATCACCACCCACTGACTCCAGTACACGAAGACCATCAGTCCTCTCCATTGTCCTCTGGGCATAACTACTAAATATACCAGTGTCCCCTTAGTACCAGGTCAGGGCAGGCTTTCATGACAACATAGGAGGCCTCTCATCACTCCAGGACTCGAAATCAGGCCTAGTATCCTAGGTCCCAAAGTGGAAGTGGCCTATGACCCAGGCCTCAAGGCATCCTATTTCTGCCAGCAGCCCTCTCCCCACAGACTCAGACAAAGTAGTGTTTTGTCCACCTGCACTCCGGATCCCAGAGAGGAGCTGTGGACCTAACAGCCTTTGTGCAGACCCCCTACCTCCCCAAACCAGTGAACACCATGTTCACAGACAGCGTGACTCTCAGTGTAAGATCCTCTCTTAAGCCAATGAAGACAAAATCCTTGCTATCTAGGAGCTTGTTTGATTTTAAATCCTACTGTTTTCTAGAAGCATCCCGGTCTTTCTCCATTCAGAGAAAGGACAATTGGAGTACAAATGCCTAGGCCATCTTAAAGCTCCAGGGCTACAAGAGCAGTCTCTCCTTTCCCCATCAGCCAAAGGCTGAGGAAACAAGATGAGCACAGCGTGTTCTTGCCCCAGTGGAGCTCAGAGCCCAGTAGGATAGGCAACTTTGTCATTGATTATTCAGGGAAGGATGACGTGTGAACACAGCATTTAGGTTTGGAAACCTAAATCAGACAAAAAGAGTCAAGGAAGGAGACTTCAAGAAGAATAAATGTTTGGGGATGTGTTTTGAGGAACAAAAGAAGTTAGCTAAATAACACAACGTGAGATGGAAAGGGATTTGTGTGAAAGTGGTACATGAGTGAAGGCTTTCTTAGTTTTAGCAGTTATGGGTAATTCCACAGTTTCCTAGGAAAGGTAGTTATTATTTATCAGACCAAAGATTTCTGTTACTAGGATGGGGGTACGGTGAGGAGGAAGGATGTACTAGCTCCTTTAACATTTCCCTCAAGGGGACCACATTTAAGCTTAAGCTATTGGAGAATTACTAGTGTTAATCAAAGGTAAGCATTTATAAAATGAAGGATGACATCTTATAGCTGCTCTTCAATTCTTTAAAAAAAAAAAATCTAAAGATGAAAAATGTCTTGTTGTAAGTCGCAGTGTGCTTGCCCAACAAGATTGGAATTTTCCTTGAACTTGAGGGCTTGACTTTCTCAGGAAACCTCTCTCTGGTCCCACACTAGGTCAGACCTTGCACTTGTACACACTAGAGTCCTGTACTGTTCTTTATCCCAGTTCATGAAAAATGTGTATGTGTGGGTGTGTGCATGTGTGTGAGATTCAATCGTTCTACATTCTAGGAGTACAATCTTAATCTGTTTTCTGTCTGCTCTATCATCAGTTTCTAGCACAATGTCTGGCACAAAATACATGCTAGATGTGTTGATTCTGCAGCTCCTGCCATTGTGTACTGTTCTGTTGTGATTTTCACTATTAGAATTTTGTCTCTATTGAGAAAACAAGAATTGTGTTATGAGGAGGAGAAAGCTATAGTCATTCAGGTTAGCTGATATGACCTGGTCATATAAGAGGTTAAGGGTCATGGGGGTATTTAGAGCTCTCAGAGCCAATTGCCAGGTAAGAGGCCGTCACTTAGAACAGAAGCTTTCAAGTGATGTCCAGGAAGAAAAGAATAATAGGTTTGTTTTTAACAAGGGACATAAGCTATGGCAGACACACAGGACCAAATACATTATTCACAGGGTCCAGTGCAAAATGCCAGTGCAAGGCCTGTTGCTCAGAAAGTATCAAGAATTTCAAGACAGTGACAGAGAGCATGCACACAAGTGCAGGGCCCTGTGTGACTGCACAGACGTATACCCACTGTGACAGGGAGGAGAACACTGACTCCTACTAGATCTGTTCCTTTTCACTTTAACCTCTGTGTTCTAGTGCCCAGGAGCTTAGTCCTGGGGGCCCTGCTTTTGTAAAAGAATGTTGCCTGTTGGCTGAAATATACAGGAGAGACTATTCTCAAGGCTCTGACCTTTAAGAGTCCATCCATATAGAGATAAAAAGTTGCAGGATAGAGAATAACATTTGCCTTGTTGGAGGTCTACATGAACATTGTGAACTGTGTGGACTGCTACAAGAATAAAGAATTCTTACAAGAATTTTGCAACAACTAACCATGCCCCTCCCTCAAGCTGCCTTTAAAAGTGCTTTGCTGAGGGTCTCCCTGGTGGCTCAGTGGTAAAGATTCTGCCTGCCACTGCAGGAGACACAAGTTTGATCCCCGATCCGGGAAGATCCCACATGCCATAGAACAACTAAACCCATGTGCCACAGCTACTGAGCCTGTGCTCTAAGAGCCTGGGAAGCAAAACTGTTGAGCCCACATGCAGCACCTATTGGAGGCTGCACGCCCGAGAGCCTGTGTTCCGTGCACTGCAACTGGAGAGTAGCCCCTACTCACCACAGCTAGAGAAAAGCCCTCACAGCAATGCACAGCCGTAAATAAATAAATCTAATTATTTTTTTAAGTGCTTTGCTGAAACCCTGTGAGGAGTTTGGGGGTTTTGAGACATGAGCCACCTGTCTCCTTGCAAAGCCCTGGGGTAAATCTTTCTCTGCCCCAAACTCCGGCTTTTCAGTTTGTTTGGCTTGACTGTGCATTGGGCACATGAACTTGAGTTCAGTAACACCATGAAGCTGGCCTTACAAACATTTATAGTTAATAAATAAAATCTGAACATGAGTTTATAGTTTCCTGTGGGAAAATTGGGCAGTTTTGTATGGGGGGGGGGGGGCGTGACTTAAATATCCAGATGTATTTCCTTCCCTGCACATTGAGGTTTTTCTTCAAAAGGTACCAGGTCCTTCTGCCCCTTAATTCCATGGGACCATCTCTCTGTTTCCAAAAGATCTACTAAGGCACACTGGTTTGCCCCTCCGCAAACAGCCCTGACATTCTTACTATCTTGCAATGCCCACTTACTCCACAGCTGAGAAGATTTGGCCTGGATTTGAGGCTCCACAGTCCAAAAAGCATGGATTTTGAAGCCAAAATGGGTTCAAATCCCAGCTCCACCACTTACAGTTCAGCCACTTAGAGCAAATTAGTTACTCTCCTGGTTTTCTCATCTATGGATGAGAACGATGTTAATAACACCTAGCCTAATAGGGTGGCTCTGAGGATTAAATACGTAAAAAGTGTGACCGGCTTAACACAACCAAACTAGGGCACATCCACGTTTTGCAGTATCTCTCTGCATAAGTCCAAAGCTGAACCGAGGAAAGAGGAGCGCCCTCAGGCCAGGAAACCCCAGCTCTGCTTGCTTCCTCCGTCACTGAACCCTATAAATAACTTGGCTAAGTCACCGGCTCCCGGCTCCCAGAGAGTCGCAGTTTCTCTGGGTGCAGAAGGAGGGAGTTGCTGCAGGTGGTCCCTCCCGCTGGATCATTCGTTTGGCTTTGGTCTGAATTTTCCTTCTACCTCCTAAAGCATCCCGGGACCGTGCCGAGCACCGGAGCTCGCCCAGCCTGGTCGCAGGGCCTCCCTAGGGCGCGGCCCCCTCCGGTTCCCCGCCGGGGCCCGCGCAGCCCCGCCCCGGAGCCACCCGCCCCCACCCACCCTCCTCCGGCGAGCGGGTCAGCCGGAGCCCACTCGCCCGCGGCCGAGCGGCAGTCACGACTGTGCGGTCGTCGCCGAGGTGGCCGCGGGCGCGGCGGGGCCGGCGCGCTCTCCCCCAGCCCGGGCGGGTGCCGGGGAGGTGGGCAGGGCCGGGGCGCGGGCGAGGCCGGAGGAGGGCGCGGCGGCGCCTCAGCGAGGATGGGAGTCCCCGGCCTCAGAAGCTGAGCGAGCCTGCGCGCGGCGGGGAGGGCGCTCCGGAGGGAGGCGAGCTTCGCTGTTCCTCCGGGAGCCCAACACCGTTCCCGCGCCGCCACGATGATCCCCCCGAGCGGCGCCCGCGAGGACGGCGTGGACGGGCTGCCCAAGGAGACGGCGAGCGCCGAGCAGCCGCCCTCTCCTGCATCCACCGGCAGTCAGGAATCCAAGGTACGGCGCACGCTTGCCCCAAGAGGACACAAACTCACTCCTCTTCCTCTCTGTCCACCTTTGTTTCCTCACCACTGGCGCGGGCGCCGGAGGCTAAGACGCTTCCCTAGTTCTTCTCAAGGACTGTACTCCCTTGAGACTTGAATGTCCGGCAAGACTCGCTGCTAGCGATGCAGGACCATGTCGCTGGGGACCCAGTCTTCTTGTCCGCACAGCCCCGGGGCGTTGCGCTGGGCTCCTACCCTGCGAGCACCCGCAGTTCACAGTGGCTCCGGGTTCGGATCGCTTTCCTGGGTGGTGGTGGCGTGCTTGTTCTGTGCCTTGAACCTTCATGTGCCTAAAGCGCGTGTGGGTATTAGGCGGCTTCTGAAGGCTGAGGGACAGACAGCCCAGGACACTCCTCCAGAAAAGCCGGGGCATTTGCGAACTAGCAAAGGCTCGCCTGTATCCCAAGGGCCTGAGACCCTTAGGCTAACCGAACTCATCCCTAACCTAGGATACCACTGATTTCAGAAAAATTAGGGAAATGCTACCTTCTCGAGAAAGTTGATGTTCCTCTCGTGGAAGTTAATCCTCGAACTTAAACTTGCTTTTGTGAGAGCTACACTGACATACACAAAACCAGCCCCGCGGCACTTCTGTCACTGTTACACTTACTCTGAGACGTTCACGGGTGCCAGGCGCATGTTTGGAAATCTTGGAAGAGGATCAAGTAAAATGCGGCTGCTAGCTGTTCGATGCCAAATGGCATCTCAGTCGGGAGTAAAAACCATAAGATGGAGTTTGTAGTTATATGGATTCTTTAAGTGCAGGGCTCCTGGCTCTTTTTCCAGATCTCCTTGTGGGTTCCCTGGGTGTCTTTGGAATGTGGGGCAGTTCTTGTGGAGGAATGAAGGAGAGGAGGATGCCAGTGTGGAGAGCAGGTAAGATGGGGCCAAGAAGAGTCTTCTCCTTTATGCCTTCACACCCATCCCGGGAAGCCATTGACAAATCAGCCGGCTCACAAGCATAGCTAAGTGACTCCCATCCTAAGTGATCCTGTCGGCTGGACAGTATCCCAGCCTCTGAAAGTTAACCATCAAAGATGCCAATCCAAGACAGAGAGCTTGGCATTATCTTTATTTTGGGGGCAAATGTCTGACCTGGAACATGTGTGTCAACTTTTCTAAAACTTAACTATAAACGGGGACAAAAACCCCACCTTCCAGAATCATTGAGAGGCATAGAGAGATGACCTAACACCCACCCAGTACAGTGTAAGGACTCAATCCTGTTCACTGTTTTCCTTCCTGAGATAAGGAGATGGGATCCATCTCACCACAGACAATTCACTCCAAATGGGTCTCACAACCCCCACACACGGACCACTGCCCCTCCAATCAGAAGTTACTGGCTCTCTATCATTGTGCGTCATTGACCTAATTCACCTAAGTGATACGGGGTAGTGGGCACTTCACAGGTGATCTAAATACTGGAAATGAATGTAACTAAACTCAAGACTGAAACTAATAATCAGCTTTTCTAATTGGGCCTGTTGCTCTGCAGTAGGTATGTTCTGGAAGGGGCTTAGCATTTGATTTTATAGCAGCATGGTTCAAACACACTGTATGGGCTTGCTATTTATAGATACCCTAATGTAAATTCTTTGGCAAAACAAAGACTACATATGTAATACCCATCATTATCCACCAATTTATCTGGCTTATGGTTTCAGACTTGTACACGTCAGTTTTTCTCTATGTGTATTTATATATTCCTAAATTTGCTGTCATAGCTTAGGTGTTCTTGATCAGTGGAGACAGGCTATGGGGGGTTGTCCATGAACCCCAAGAAGCTGAGCGCAAAGTGGTGTGCCTGAATGTGGGATTTTTTTGGCATAGTGTTTGTGATGCTCTCCAAGGGGCCAATGCTTCTCAAAATGGCTAAACTGCTGATGTGGAGGCTGTGTGGTAGGGAACAGCAGGATGGCAAGAAGCAGGAACAGAGGCAAGCTCTATTCATTCTGCACCAGGAGCGCCACATTTGAAGGTTTATTGGCATTTACAAGTATCTTCCATCTGACAACAAGTGTCTGGTAGGAGAACGTGGACAGCTAGTCATCCCGTATTACTCCCCTCTGAAGTGATCTGTTTGTCAAAATACCGTGTGGGGCAGGCATAGTTCAGCCCTTCTGGACAGTAACCTTTCTCAAGAAGGACTTTTGAAATTCATTTTTTCTTTTATTTTATTAAAGTCTGATTGACTTACAGTATTGTATTAGTTTCAAGTATACAACATAGCGATTCAGTGTTTCTCTAGATTAGTCATCATACAAAGTTAGTCATCATACTCAGTGTTATTGACAGTATTCCCTGTGCTGTACATAGCACCCTGTGACTTACTTATTTTATAACTAATAGCTTGTACCTCTTAATCCCCTTCACCTCTTTGACTCATTCACCCCACCTCCCTCACCCTCTGGCAACCACTGGTTTGTTCTCTGTATCTATGAGTGTTTCTGTTTGGTTATATATGCTCATTTGTTTTAATTATTAGATTTCACTCTACATTTTTAAAATAACTTTTTTTCTCTCCTGATAAGAGTAACAACTACTTTGTGGAAATTTGAAAAGTCCTGAAAAAAAAAAGAGAAGGAAAAAATCACCCATTAGTCACAATCCAGAGGCAATTACTGATAATGTCTTGGTTGTATATTTGCCTTTTCTCATTGTTTTTTTATATTTACCCAGTTGAGAGAACAATAGTAAGCATCTACTGGGTACTTGGTGAGTGTCAGACACAACTTGACCCTTCATAATAACCCTGTGAGGGATATTGTGCTGTTATTTCTGTTTTATGGATAGGGAAGTGAAAGCTCAGAATGGGTAGGTGACTTCCCCTTAATTGTGTAGTGAGTTGATTGACACAGCAATGACAGGAACCCGGGCCTCATGACTGTGGAGAACAAGTTTTTGACCACCGTGCTGCTGTCTTTTATGCCCGTGGCCTGTCTTACGTTCTATACTGTTTCGCCCAACATCCTAACCAAGTATTTTCTATGCCACTAAAAGCCGTTTGCAACTGTGTTTTGTTCTTCCCAAGAAATCCTTGAAAATAAATTGAGCCACATTATGACGTGAAATGATTAAAGACCAACTCTTTTCCAGCGTCTTTGATTTTGCTACTCCTTCCCCAGAAGTATATTTACGGAAGTGATTAAATGGAACTTCACAGAACCATCTGGAAAACTTGACCACGATGAACCCTTCAGTCTAGAGGGGCCATTAGAGAAGAATGATAATGATTCAGTGCCTTCAGCACATAAAATGTTTCTGGAATGCCATTTTCTCTGCAGATTCCTTGGAATGCTAAATCAAATATAAGAATAGGAAACTCTGGAGATGATCTACTCTGGGTATTTTTTAAATAATGGATAATTTTATTGTGTACATTTATTTTATTATGGAAAACTTTAACACACACAAAAGCAGAGGAAACACTATGAAGAACCATCATGTACCTAATCACCTGGTTCTACCAGTTATCAATTCATGGACAATCTTTGTTTCATCTGTAACCCCCACCAGTACCTCCACCCTTCCTTACACACACTGGTTCATTTTAAAACAAATTCCAGACATCAAGGGTCTTCCCAGGTGGTAAAAGAATCCGCCTGCCAGTGCAGGAGATGCAAGGGACATGGGTTCGATCCCTGGGTTCAGAAGATCCCCTGGAGGGGGGCATGGCAACCCATCTAGTATTCTTACCTGAAAAATCCCATGGCAGAGGAACCTGGCAGGCTATAGTCCATGGGGTCACAAAGAGTCGGACGTGACTGAGCATGTGTGCACACACCAGACACCAAAGCATTTCATTTGTACGTATTTACAGTTGTATCTCTAAAGAATAAGGGCTCTTTTCATAAACATGACTATAATCCTATTATCACACACTGGAGGTGTTTTAAATCATGGGTCAGTATAGTCTTTGGAGGTCTACAAATTGTCTTTGGAATACCTGTGAACAGCCAGAACTTTCAAAATTGCTCATGTATGTGTATATGTGCATCATCTAGGGAAGGGATCCATAGCTTATACCAAATCAATAAAGTGCTCATAGCTTTCCCAGTTTATTTAAATATTCTCTCTCTTTTTTCCTTCTGTCGAGTAAATAGAGGCCCAGAGAGAGGCAGTGAGTTGCCTAAGATCACAAAGGTAGTTACAGACAATAACCCCACCTAAGAACCCGGCTAGGGCCGTGGATGCTGTGCTGTTCTTAGTCGCTCAGTCGTGTCCTACTCTTTGCGACCCCATGGACTGTAGCCCACCAGGCTCCTCTGTCCATGAGGACTCTCTAGGCAAGAATACTGGAGTAGGTTGCCATGCCCTCCTCCAGGGAATCTTCCCAAACCAGGATCAAACCCAGGTCTCCTGCATTGCAGGCGGATTCTTTACCGTCTGAGCCACCAGGAAAGCCCAGGAATAGTGGAGTGGTAGCCTATCCCTTCTCAAGGGGATCTTCTTGACCCAGGAATAAAACTGGAGTCTCCTGCATTGCAGGCAGATACTTTACCATCTAAGCTACCAGGGAAGCCCAGGACCTTTGATACCCCAGCACAGTTTCCTCAGAGTAAATTCCAGTAAGCACAAGTTATAATGTAGTTTATGTGGTTTTGTTTTTTCATAAAATTAGTTGAGTTGAAAGAGTTTCAAAGCCACTAATGAACCTCACCCCTCTATCTTTCCACTAACTATCTCAGAAAGACCACAATCTAATTGATTGTCTAAGTGTTTGACAGAGATCATTGAATACTAAGAAAAATTTCATGTTTCAGCATCCTTTATTGCAGTGAATGTCTCTTTTTATACTGACTCATTGACAATGTAGAAATCTTACTGGAGTGTCACATGCAGTTTGGTATGGATTCCCTTTGCCATCACTTATATAACACAAGCTCACATTTTGATGATGTGAAGGGATTATAGGTTTTGAGGACAAATAAACAAGCTTTCAGATCTGTT